TAAGACCCGTGAAAAGGATAGGAAGAGCAGAATCATGAAAGTACGAGCGCCACCTCACAATGGGCCTGGAAAACACGCCATCGTTAGCACTATTTATGTATCGAAAACTGTAATACTAACTTGAACAGAAAAGTAATATTGTTATTAGAACCTATAGAGTTCGCTGAAAAAATTAAAAATTTGATGATATTACATGTATTCTTTCGTGCGGAAGCTGAACAAACTGATTGCAATCGGTAACTAGCCAATCATAATACAGCATTTTTAAAATTCTTAATCATGATTGGTTCTTTACTGATTTCAATAACTTCTGTTCAATACGAAAGAATGGGTGTATTGAAGATTAGGTCACAAAGGGGATGTGTTCTGTACTGTGGATTAGGTTTGAGGTTATTTCTTCTCTATGTTGTATTATTGTGAATAATTAACTCATAAGTTAACGCGCTAGTGCTTTTGATAATAATTGTTTTCTATTTTAGACAAAATTTAATGTAACGCAAGAAGATAATTATAATTGTTAAATCGTTCATCTGAATTTTCTTACTGCTTTTGCTTGTTTTACTTTTTAATAGAAAATGTCTGGGATGATCTCACATCACTGTTGTGCATCAAACTAGGATCAAACTGCAAGAATACATATTATTTATATACCACTTATACTTCTTACAGAAATTCAAGCTTTTTCAGAGTTATTGCAGACAAGGAAATGATTTGGAGAGAATCAGTTCACAAATTATGTAAACCAGATTTTAACTTCATCAACGAAAAATGTTACTTTTGCGAAGACCACTTTGAATTAAAATGTCTTGGAAATAGTAGGAAGAATAGCCTCAACAAAAATGCAGTGCCAACAATATTTTGTGAATCAAATAGTATATCATCACATTTAGATTCTCTTAATAGTAACAGTTACTTGAAAACTACTCTAAAGTCAGTTAAACAGTTTGTTAGTGAAACATTAGAAAATGCCGAAATTAATAAATGCCAAACATCAATGTTAGATGATTTTTCAGAACCACCATTTAAAAAACCAAAATACACTTATTCCAAATTGCCATCTCTAAATACCACTGCAAGTACTAGTACTGTTATTGTTGACGACGCCATGCCGGATGAAGTAGATTCAAATACTGGT